TTGTACCCCAGTGCACGTAGGACGCCCGACGCACAGCTGAGTGCTTATGTTTTTCTACTCCTCGGATGTACCTTGTTTCCGGATAAGAGCGGCGGAAACAAGCTTAGGCCACGCGACATAGTAGAGGCGTGTGACCCCGACAGTGTAGGCCAGTTTTCCTGGGGATCGGCTACGTTGGCGTATTTGTATCGCCAACTAGGATTTGCGAGTCGGGCTGACGCGGCAGGTATCACTGGGTGTCTGACTCTATTGCAGACCTGGATATACGAGTACTTTCCTGCATTGCGACCACATCGTGACCCAGTTCCTATTGATGAGGGGATGCCGCGTGCTTGTGCGTGGAGTCCGCGCTCAGAGAAGAAGTCCGTTGACCGCCTCCGATCGATACGGTTATTGCTGGACAGGCTGTCCCCCTTAGAGGTAACGTTTATTTATAGAGTTTACATTTTATTATTTGCACATATTATATTCATGTTATTAAATTGTATATGTTGTTATTGTACAGGTGAACTGGATGCCTTTCGGCCCGAACCCTAGTGTTAGGGTACCCAGGACCCTGTACACGGGACTCATTCAGTATCGTGAGATCGTCGAGGCGTACATGCCCCAGCGTTGTCTTCGCCAGCTTGGATTTGTCCAAGTTGTCCCTCCTCCCCCGGCATGCCCGATGAAGGCGGTCCGACCTGCATCGTCGAGGGACTACGTCGTGCAATGGCCGGATATCATGACCGGGACGTGGGACCAGTTTCCGATGGTGGCCCGCTTATGGACTGCGGAGTTGCAGCGGCCGCCCTCTGGGGTTACTCCCATGTGTGACCATTACTACATGGAATGGTTCAACCGGTATTCGCACCCGAGGTTGATCGCAGATCTCGACCACAGCGATGATGATTATGTGCCACCGCCTACTGCCACGGAAGCGGTATGTCTTTTATTATATTTATCATTGTCTTTTAATTAAGTTTTATATGTTGTTATTGTATTTCATCTTCTGTTTTTTGTTGTATGCAGTGGATGGGAAAGATAATGCAGGACGTACAGAAACTCTCTCTTGAGAAGGACGGCATGAGTGCAACAGGGAGAGCTGTCGTTGATAGTCTGGAACACACCCTTGCGCAGTGGGAGTCGTCGTCGAGGAGGGATTACTGATGGTTATTGTATTTTATTTATAGAGCATTATGTTGGACATTATGTTGTAAAATTGTAACATTTTAGATTGTTCTTTAAGCTTCCAACTTAAACATATTATCAGTGCTGTTTTTAAATTTTGATATAACCGTTCGTGGATCCGCGCAACTTACCCATGCAACATATAGAATGCAGTAAGCAATACAATATAAAATATTAATGTTCTCATTAAAAGAGCAACGTACAAATAATATTACAAATAAAGAATGTAAACATGAAAAACTAAAATGCAGCTAGGGTGTTCCATTCGTGGATCCGGTCACGATATAGCGCATCCCAACCCTCTACGCTCGCAAGCCGAAATGCATGACTGCGCATTTGTACAAATGTAAATAAAGAATGTAAATATTAATGTTCTCATTAAAAGAGCAACGTACAAATGTAAATAAAGAATGTAAACATGATAATAAGCTTGACTATGCACTCCCAGGCCGAAATGCATGACTGCGCATTTGTAAATGTTTGCAACGGCAAACAGATCTAGGGGCGCGTCAAAATAATGATTTTCGCCGCAAGGTCCACCTCCCCACCGGATACGCCGCAGAGCGCCATCCAAGTCATCCTGGTACACATGACGATAAACATTTCGGTTAGAGGCAATTTCGCTGTACATCAACTCCCGCACCAAACCGTAGTTGTCTTCGCCCATTTGAAAAACATCAGCCACGACCCGGAATCCGCAGTTACCATCTCCGATTACATCATTCCACCCTTCCAAGTATGACATGATGATCGCAGGTATCCTTTCCTTGTACGGAAACTGATCAACATCGTTTCTTCCTATTCACCATATAATTATAGACAGTTAAGAAGGCAGGAGTAACACTTTAAAACTATGTGCAATAAAAACAACCAAAACGTACCAGTTCTCAGGGGCATATTCACAGACGATGAAGATTGACTACGACTAGATGACGATGTCCGACCACGAGAACGACCACGACCAAGACCACGGATATACTCAAACGCACTCCTGTTCCGCCGTTGTCGACCTCGAGGACGGTCAACTCCTTCGGGTTCCTCATAATCTAAGTTAGACGGGTGGAACATGTCATGAAGTACATGAGTAGCGTCACGAATAATAGAAGGATGGCTGGAGGACACTCGGTCGTACATCGAACGGAACTGCTCCAACTCCTCCTGTTCACGGTCGGCCGTTTGATTGTCTACATGCTCACCAATAACAAGCGTCCTCCAGAATGAATGGACCTGATCAACATGTAACGACGCCCTTTCTTCTGTAATAACGCGGTGAATGGTGCATGCGCAAGGTAATCCATGAGTTACTGAAATAGTACACCCACACCGAGCATACACTTCGTCAGCCAAGTCCCTCACCCTGTTCAGCTCAATGAGAATCAACCCCAAGCAGTAGTGCGACACACGACCATGGAGAATCTTAAATATAAAATGGCTATACATCGTACCATGTCGTCGTCTGGAGTCCTCTAGAGAGTTCCTGATGTCGTTCTTCTGAGTTTCAATTGACTTGTTCAGTCTAGCGAACAGTGTATCCAAAGCAGCGGTCGATGAATCAATCCAGTCCTTGGTAGCTCTATGAGCGCTCTCAACTCTACATGTTGTAGTGTTCCCAAAATGAAGTACCTGGTTTGTCCAATATTTGACAAACTTTTCCCTGTGAGGGACCCATTAATGCATCACATAGTCCACCAGTGCCGGACACCACTGGTACGAATCCCTGAAGTTAGCCAATGCTCGCTCATACGCTTCCTCTGTGGTAGCCTGTAGGATCTTCCGCCACTTACCATTCACCAATCTCTCTGCCATTTCCAAATTCTTCTTGAAAAGGTTGTAGGCTTTCACTTTCACGCAGTTGTTGATGTGCCATGTGCACAATAAGTGGTTCGATTCGGGAAACAGCTCTGCTATGGGGGCAAAGAGACCTCCCTCACAGTCGCTGACGATGGCTGCTGGATGAACATTAGGCCCGATGTAGTTTCTCAGCTTCTCCAACACCCAATAATAACTTGGAGCCGTCTCATCCTTGATGATTGCATGACCAATCAGAAAGTTCTGGTTCGTTGGAGCCATCCCAACCATCTCAACCAGTGGGAACTTGTACTTGTTTGTCTTGTACGTTGAGTCGATCAAAATCACAAATGGCCAAGACTTGATCATATCAGCACAATCAGGATGCACAAGGAAAAGATGAGTCACCTCCGTTGTATCTTCATCAGAATCAAACCAGAACAGGTAACCACGTGATTGTGCCTGGTGTAGCAGCTGCTGTATAGGGTTCCTTCCCTCTGACCGTTCAAACCTGAGTTGCTGTCTGACGTTGTAGATGTGTCTTCGGTTTGGATGGTCTTCTGGAAATTTCTCTAACACAGATGCTAATATTTTAGCAGGCTTCACTTGAGCATCACTCATTTCTTTCACAACTAGTTTCGCAACAGGACTTAAGCCGCTCAGTTGTCGATGACCCTCTTCATATACTATCATCTCATGGTTGTGATACCCCCATTTAGAGTAACCAATCACTTCCCAACCGTCACGACTCCGTAGTTGTCGAACCTTTACTCTGAACTCACACCCACAACCTTTTCGCTTTGTATCAAACCGAGTGGCTGTACGAAAATCTCTTTCTTCTCTTTTGCGATAACGGTCACATCTCAAAATGCGATCCATTCTATCATCCCGTTGAGATTTATGAGTTACTACTACCAAGCAAAATCCAGCTGCAATTGCAACCTGTTTTGCCCAATCAATCGCCTGTTGAGCTTCTTCGAATGGACCATCATGTCCAAATATCCCACTGTAATCATTTCCGTCTCCACCATATTCCTGCATCAATTATATATTACAATAAATTCATTTAACCGATAATACATTTAATTTCTATATTTACACAGAATTAACACACAAAAAAGCATAATTATATATAATCAAACTTAATTTTTATAAAAACCCAATTCGAATTTTCAAACTAAATTTAAAAATATACCATTTCGAATTTTCAAATTTAATTTTAAAAAAACCTATTTCGAATTTTCAAATTTAATTTAAAAAAAACCCATTTCGAATTTTTTTAAAAAATCATTTTCGATTTTTTTTTTTAAAAAAATTAAATAAAAAACAACAACAAAATCAAAAAAGAAAAAAAAAATTAAATTTATAAGGGTGGCGTCTGCCAGGGCTGCCACAGCCACTGGACTGGCGCCTGGCAGGGCCGCCTCACCCAGTGGAGTGGCGCCTGCCCAGGACGCCAGTCTGGTGGTCTGGGCGTCTGGGCTGGACGCCACTCTGGTGGTTCTGGCGTCTGGCTTGGACGTCCAGGCTACGGTTTGGGCGTCCATCCTAGGCGCCGGAGCCACTCCGACGGTAAACCGTGAATTTTAACGGTGACTTACCTCGTTTTCCGTCGACGACGACGTACCTCCGGCGTCCCCCGCATCTCCGGCCTGCCCTCCGGTCTCCCCCGGCGAGCCAGTACAGCTCCACATTTTTTACACCGAGATTATTTCAATTTTAGAAAATGGGCATAATGGTCAAATCATATCATATTTGTAGGCTTTATATGGTAAATTGCGGGCGATGTTTAGCGTTTCACAACTTTTTCGGACATTCCGTTAGCCTTCAAAAAGGCATACCCCTTCTTAGACCAATGAAATTTTCGTGTTTGACAAGTCTAAACTAAACCCTACACCTAAATTTTAAACCCTCTTACAAAAGTCTTCTTAACCCCCCAATGTATATATGTTCCAATAATTCTAATAAGGCTTAGAATTTGTCAACGTCATTCTTTTAATAATTTTGGTCAACAATAAACAGAGTCAGATGTAACAATATTAAACTAATATTTGTTTAATTATTTACTAATTCTTATACTTATTCCAATTTGACACATATGCTATAGCATACAATTTTAGAAGAACCAATATTAAAAACTTTAAAACATACTCCGTAAATTAGTAATTTCATGAGTTCATCATCCCGGCCATTCTATTATTCAACGTTCATTACATTACCAACTTTATTTGCGATTTATTGTTAATATATACATACTCTGTATAGTACTATTATTCGTATGTAGTTAGGGTGTGATCTATTCACTTTAATATATTTGAACTGAATTTATTAAACATAACTACCTGATCCGCCTTAATTAAACCTAAAAATTTAACCTATCATGTTTAATTTATCGATTTGATCTCGACTTTTTTTTTTTTTTGACAATTTGTTTCATCTCGATGTTAATGAATGAATAGTGATTAAAGATGTAACGTTGACATAAAGCTAATACTACACAAAAGCAACATAAAGCAAGTAAAAAGAAGTGGATTAAACAAAATTGCAAATAGTAGTTTGTTCACCCACCCAATGTTCATTAGATTATCAAACTTTGCTTAATCCCCATTATTTGAAATGTTATTCAAAGCACGGCAGAATCTTCCAAACTTTCTCTCTCCTTCAAACTCCAAATGGTTGCTTCCACCCTCCCCACATTCTTCTCTTATATTACTCTCAATTTTTTTTTAATTTATTGTCCAATTTTTTTACTTGTTTATAAATAAACCCAAACAATTTATTTAGATTTTGAAGGCTCAACTCCCAACATAACTAACTTTTCTATTTTTATTTGTTCATTTTTTAGCCATGCACTTTCTATTACCCTTTTTGCTCTTTCTATTACAACTACCTTCAGCCTTTCCCGCCAGAACTTTCCCTCAACCATCTATCCTAAACTTCAATGACACCACCACCTCCTCCGTTGTCGCGGCCGCCTTTAACTCTTCCTCCACCCCGTGGGGGAACTTCGCGAAGTTTGCCAACCTCGAGAAGGGCAGCCACGTAACCGGGATATGTGATCTCAAGACCTACCTCAACCGCTTCGGCTACCTCCCGGCGCCGGCGCCGGGAAACTTTTCCGACGACTTTGACTCCGACCTCGAATCTGCAATCTTAACTTATCAAAAAAACCTCGGTCTACCTCCCACCGGAAAACTCGACACTGAGACTATTGACCTCATCATGGCCCCACGTTGCGGCCTTGGCGACTCGCACCTTCGCCATAACACCACCACCATCACCCACCTACACGAAACTCGTCGTTACGCCTACTTTAACGGCCGTCCACGGTGGACTCATAACTCTCCTATGACTTTGACATACGCTTTTTCACCGGACCATATGATAGACTACATCTCACCGGAAGAAATCAAGGCGGTGTTCTCACGCGCCTTTACGCGGTGGTCCGAGGTTATCCCCGTAAATTTTACGGAGGCACAAAACTATCGAACGGCCGATGTTCGTATCGGTTTTCATAGTGGTGATCACGGTGACGGAGAGCCGTTCGATGGCGAACTCGGAGTTTTAGCACATGCTTTTTCACCTGAGAATGGAAGACTTCATTTAGATTCAGCTGAAACGTGGGCCGTTGATTTTGGAAGGGAAAGATCAAATGTAGCCATTGATTTGGAATCAGTGGCAACGCACGAGATAGGTCACGTGCTTGGGTTAGCCCATTCTTCTGTTAGTGATGCTATTATGTACCCGAGTTTAAGACCACGGAGTCGGAAAGTTGACCTACGTGTCGATGATGTTGAAGGGATTCAAGCTTTGTACGGGTCTAACCCGAATTTTAATTACGGGTCGTTGTTAGAATCCGATAGGGAAACTTCTAACAGCGGTGCTGGTGGTGGCTATAGGAAAGGTTTCGGGTTTTCGACGTGGTGGCTTTGGACTATTGTTCTTAGCTTAGCTCAACTCATTTATTTTTAGGGCCTTTTCAAAAAAAAACAAAAACAAAAAAACAAAAAAACATACTTATACTTGGTATATTTTAGAGGATCGAATGTGAATATTAATTTTTTAATTAATTTTTATACGTGGGTTAGTTGATGTTGGTTGCTCATTTAGTTGTTACAGATTTTGGAGTATAGAATTTTTCAATTTCATTGGTATGTTATATAAATTAAAGTACATAAGAAAGAGATAGGAGTTCATTCTTTTTCTTGAAATTGATTTTTTACGAGAACATATTTATACAGTATAGTAATTTTCTTGCATATATTTCATTCTATGAGTTCATGCCAAGGATCAATAATCATCCATTCGCGTTCTTTGTTATTTACTCCATTTAGTAACTTGGAATGAGTCAAATAACAATTCAACTAATGTTTAATTTCATGCATGTTGATTCAAGATTTTTTTACTTTGAAAATTATAACCAAGTTAGACAAGTGTCATTTTCATTTTATATAAAAATGAATGAATTAGGGTGTTGTTAAACGTCGATCGCATTACAGGGTGACGCTCGCATTTTTTACTTGAATTTCCTTATTTGCCTTTCATATATAAATACTCGTGAAACTAACTTACGAAACTTACAAGTCATTTCACAACCACAACATAATCTCTCTCTAAAATTTTCTCACTCTAAAAAAAAAAGTCAGAAATTCAAATAAAAAAATCAAAAATTTTTTTTAACAAAAAACCCCAACATTTGAAAATCACACAAACACCAACGAACACCACCCATCCAAGGTTGAATCCGGCTATGGCGGACCGGCGACGCATAAGGCTGACATACGGTGGTCGTGGGGGCGGCGTCAGTGGCGGCGAGCAAGTATGGTTGTGGTTTTAGTTTTTTTGAATTAAAAAAAAATCGTGGAGACTTCCGCCTGAAAAATCCAGATGTCTGGGGAACTTTCGGAAATTTCAAGCGGAAGTGCCACATCAGCCTGAAATTTCCGGAAGTTCCCCCAGACTTCTGGATTTTTCAAGCCGAAGTCTGGGTTTTCGAATTTTTTTTTTTGTTTGTCGTATTTTTTCTTTGAGTAATATAATTTTATTTTTTTTATTGTTATTATTATGTATTATTGTTATGTACATGTTTTTTATTAATTTTGTAATTTTTTTTTGATTAATACAATTTAATTTTTTTTTATAGTTATTGTTATGTATAATTGTTATGTATTATGTTTTTTATTAAATTTGGAATTTTTTTTCCTTGTGATTATTGATATGTATTTTTTTTTTTACTAAAATATTTTTTTTTATTGTTATTGTTATGTATTGTTGTTATGTAATTTTTTCGTGATTCAAATTTTATAAAAAATTGATTGAAATTATTATTGTTGTTGTTATTACCATTGTTATTATTGTTGTTGTTGTTGTTGTTGTTGTTGTTGTTGTGTTGTAATGTTGCCGATTTTGTGGTTTATTATTGTTTTGATTTGGTTTATTATTGTTTTCAAATTATTAGTAGTTATTATTGATCCCTGGTAATGTTGTTATTATTGTTTATTTGATTTGGTTTATTATTGTTTTGAAATTAATTTTTTGAATTTGAATATTAGTTGTTCAACTTTAATATCATAGTTATATTTGTAATTATTACTGATATTTGATTTTGTATTTATTTAATGTAGATTGAGGGTTCGGGTCCTCGTCATGCAGTATCAAGACGTTTGAATGCGCCTATTAGGAGGGAGTCGGGTCGTTCGGTAAATACGGGGGCACCGTATCATCCTGAGCAGCAATATGTGTCTGCTGGTACTTGGTCGGGGGAGCATCAATCGCAAGGGAGCCCCCTCCCATGTACTCGTCGGGCCATGTGTCGACATCTGACGAGGAGGACAATGAGCGGGCAAGTTAGGCTGATAGAGATGAAGAGTACGACCCAGTTGATTATCATACGGTGCATAGGGGTTAGCAAGGGAGATATGTGAGTAGCAGTCAAGCGAGTCAGCCTTCCACCAACTCAGCAGAGACATAGGTAGTGCAGCAGCTGATGCCTGGTGATCCTGAGGATGGTACTGTTATCCCCAGTTTTGGTGGTCACGTGGCTTCATATATTTGGGGCGGGCAGGAGCGTAATGTTTTGCGCTGTCTGAGCAGGACACAGTTGTGTTCTGCATTGGTTACCTGGCGAGGTCGTCTTGCACAGGAGCATTTGGAGCTGATTGACGGTAGTGGTCTGTCTCACTTACCAGGGATCATGTTCAGGCGTTTTGACTGGCCGTTGATTTCTGTGTTTGTTGAGAGATGGCAGCCAGATACGAACACCTTTCATATGCCATGTGGGGAGATCACGATCATGCTGCACGATGTGTACCATATTCTTGGGCTTCGTGTTGATGGTTCCATGGTCTCCACTACTCCTAGCACGGACGTCATACGGGACGCGTGCCAGGTTACCCTGGACATGACTGCGGAAGAGCTGAACGAGAAGTGCGGTACGAAGACCATTTGGCAGGGTAGTGGGGTGCTGACCGAGAGGATTATGGACTCGACCTTGGAGGAGCAGAGGCCCTTCAGTGTCCATTACAGTGCCTACATGTGGTTAGTACTGGGCGGATGTCTGTTTTTGGATAAGAGTGGTAACCGCACTCATCCTTCCTTCCTCAACGAGCTTGTTGTTGAGGATCTGCAGATTAGTGACTACTCTTGGGGTTCAGCTGCTCTGGCATATTTGTATCGCCAGTTGGGTACGGAATCAAGAAAAGATGCCGATTCAATCGCTGGTTGTCTCATGCTTCTACAGGCGTGGATCTACGAGTACTTTCCGTGCTTCCGGCCTCAGAAGGGTACCTTGACGAGGGAGATTAGTATTCCTCGTGCGTGTGCTTGGGATGTGGGATCGGAATGCCGGAACAAGATCATGGAGCGCCTCCTCGCTTTTCGTGCTCGATTGGATCAGCTGACCGACAATGAGGTTAACTGGCTACCGTACGGAGTTGATCCCGCTCGACGCGTACCAGCCACTCCATTCATTGGTTGCATCCAGTACCGGAGCATCATTGAGCCATACATGCCTGATCGAGTGGTTCGACAGCTTGGATTCGTGCAGGAGATTCCGCGGACCATTATCAGGCCTGAGAAGGCCAAGAGACCGACAAACTTGAAGATGTATCGGGTTGACTTTTCGACCGAGATGACATCTGTGATGTGGACTTGGTTTGTCCCTGGCTCGTCTTTCAGTATTGTTTTAGGTGCCCTCACCAGACTCGGTGGTGGAGGTCCTACGGTCGCTCCTGGTTACATGCAGTGGCTGTACCGATTTTCTCGTCCTCGTCTTTCTCTTGGTGGGTCATCAGATGGGAGTAGCAGACTTCCTGAGAGGACTAACACGGACTATGTAAGTAGTTTTCTTTTATTAAACTATAAATACCACTATGTAATTTCTGGAACTAATATGTTGTTCTGTTACTTGCAGTGGATGGGTCGGTCCTTGGAGATTCACCGGAGATCATTGGATGAGTATCCCAGCATGAAGCGTGAAACAAGGGCAATGACTGAGCAGTTGATAGCTGACTGGAAGGCGATGATGGGGTTGTGAAGTACTTGTCTTTTAGTTTTATATTAGCTTACAATGATTGTTTTACAGTACTTGTACGCACTTCGTTAGTTTATTGATTATTATTATTATTATTATTATTATTATTATTATTATTATTGTTATTATTATTATTATTATTATTATTATTATTATTATTATTATTATTGTTGTTGTTGTTGTTATTATTATTAGTTTATGTTAATGAGTTAATAACAAAAATGTTAATAACAAAAAATATTATTTACTTTATGTTCGGCATGTGCCTTTTTAATTACGTTTCTTGATTTACATATTACATATCTACAACTGTTCATCATAAATGAATGTACATAAATGAGTTTGCTATCTAATTAACGCATCCCACATGTTCCGTCTAACTGCATAACGCTGATCCCAACCGTCAACACTTGGCTCGTGATGCTCGGTCCACCAACCTGCAATCGGGGGAAGTGGTGAATCTGGTGCAAGATCAATACAGATAAAATGTGAGCCCTCAACTGTAGCAATCACAAACTCTCGGGCAGGTGCCGTGACTGCCCTTCGTGCCCGCAACGGCAAGATCGTGAGGCATGGGTAGTAGCAGGTTGGTACTTAGCCTACACCAAGAATAATAACTATTGTGTTGAACCAAGTAGCAATAGGAAATAAATCTTGAATTGCAATCATCCAATGACGGGAATCAACCGCCCCACCGTCCTATCGAGTACGCTCCACATTCATCCCAAGCCTTCCAATCCCGTAAATCCTTTCGTACAGGATTGGATAACCGAGGACCTTGTTAGCTATTGTTTCCCGAGCGTCATACCATTGCCCTTGGTCACCGAAGAAGAAGTCGGCCACACAACGAAAGTCGCAGTTATCATCGCCAATGACATCCTTCCATCCTATGATGTAAGGCAATATCGGTCCTGGAAGCAAGTGTCGATACCGACTTTGGCTGATGTCACATGGATCTTCTGCACGAAATTAGTGTTCAGCTATTATTACAGTAAACGATGAAATACGTGAAAATCAAAATAGCCAATCTTACCTGTTTGTTGCGGACCACGTTGAGTGTTTCGACGGTTGACATGTTCGAAATAAGAAGGATCACGTCTTGAGTCATTGTTCCTTCGTCGACCATGAACGTTGTGGTTTACAACAGGATCTCCAAGGTTTAAATGATCCGGATGCAGCTCTTCCTCAATGATGCGAGATACATTTCGAAGAATAGCAGGATCACTACCGATTACCTCATCCACCAAAGAACGAAAATGTGTGGCGTCCTCGGTTAAGTCATTACCGAACACCGGTATATCATCACCATCACCGATAACCAAGGTCTTCTAGAACGGGTGAATTTTCCTAGTATACAAGCCTGTCTTGGCAGTTAGAGAATCATGTATCTGGCAAGCACACGGCAAACCGTGGGTCACATGAATTGCACATCCACATCGCTCATACACCTGATAACTCATCTCCCTCATCCTTTTCGTCTCGTCGTCGAGAACCTTCAAACAATGCTGAGACACCTTGCCGTTAATACGTGACAGTGGCAATTGCCAGTACTTCTGACCAATCTTCGACCTAGACGCCTCCAAACCATTACGAATTGCGATGATCTGATTACCAATGTGGCAATGAACTCAGACCCATACGGTATCCAAAGAACCTGCACATTACAAAAAAACCGTCAGGAGTGATAATAAAAATAACAATAACAATAATTATAATAATAACAACAACAACAACAACAACAACAACAACAACAACAACAACAACAACAACAACAATAATAATAATGATAATAATAATAATAATAATAATCATAATCATAATCATAATCATAATCATAATCATAATAATAATAATCACAAAAAAAAAATCATAATAATCATAACAAAAAAAATAATAATCATAACAATAAAAATATTAATATTAATCAATAACTATAGCAAAGTCCAAACAACGAACCTGTTGAAGATTCAAACCACATCTTCACGGCCGAATGTTGGCTCTCAACTCTGCAAGTGCTGGTGTTGCCAAAATGCAGAACTTGGTTTGTCCAAAATGTCACAAACTTGGTTTTATGACAAAGCCATGTTCTCTCTACATATTGTATCACCGCTGGATAACTTGCCCATCGACCTTTCATTGTTTGTACAACAGCATTATAATCCACCTCGGTTGCAGCATCCATGATACGTTTCCATTCCCGTTTTTGAAACTCACATCGATCTTCTTGTTTTTGAACATATCAGTGACCCGAGCCTCCACATCTTTGTTAATGTGCCATCGACATAGTAAGTGCGGGGTCCCTGGAAACACTTCTCTCAATGCTGCACATAACCCAAGCTCACGGTCTGTCAAAAAAGCCGACGGTTCCCTATCATACCCAATCAAGTATCTCAGTCTCTGCAAAACCCATCGATAACTTGTCGTGCACTCGTTGCGCATGAACACGTAACCGACGAGGAAATTCTTATTTGTCGGTGTCACACCTACTATCTTAAAGAACGGCATCCCGTATCGGTTGGTCTTGTAAGTGGAATCCATACCGATCACACACTACAAGTAAACAGCTGAATTCCGACGGACTTTTTCTGTCGGAAACAGGTAAAATCTGTCGGAAAACGGCCTTCCGATGGAATTTTGTCGAAAAATGTCTCTCGGAACAGCCCTTGTCGGAAATTCGACGTTTTCCGAGGTCCGTCGGAAGCCACTTTTCCGACTGAATACGTTCTATCGAAGCTGGTTTTGACTTTAACCGAAATTCCGTCGCAAAGTTCCGACGGAATTTTCCGTCGGAGCTGAAGTGGATTCCGACGGAATATTCCGTCGGAAGGGGAATATTCTGACGGAAATTTCCGTCGGAAAATTGAATAAAAAAAAATAAAAAAAATCCACCCCCTACCACCTGCCCCCCTGACTACCCCCTACCCACCCACACCACCACCAGCCCCACCACCCCCTGCCCCCCACCCTAACCACACACCCAGCCCCCACCCACCAAACCACCCCACCCTAACCACTAACTAACCACCCCACCCCTTAACCCAAACCCACCCTAACCACGCCACCCCTAACCCAGACCCGCACCCACCCTAACTTCTTTACCCAGACCCACCCTAACCCCTTTACCCAGACCCACACCCACCTAACCCCTTAACCCAAACCCACCCTAACCACGCTACCCCTATCCCAGACCCACCCACCCTTTACCCAGACCCACCCTAACCCACGCATCCCAACCCTAACCCTGAACCGACCTAACCCAGACCCACCCTAACCCACGAATTACCACATCCACCAACCACCACCACCGTTTTACCACATCCACCAATCACCACCACCCTAACCCAAAATCCACCCACAACCGCCCACAATCACAACCACCACATACGAAACGTGTGAAAAATTAAAAAAAAAAACCCTACCTTAAACGGTGAATTTTCCTTCGAATTTCACACGAATTTGGTTTAATACGGCCAAATTCGATCATGAAACCTCTAGATCTAGAGGTTTCATGGTCAAATTTGGCCGTATTACCATGGGAAGCTGGCGAGACGGAAGAAAGGAGATGTTACGAAGAGACATAGAAAGAAAGAAGGAGAAGGAGGAAGAAGAGGAGAGAAGGAGGAGATCGAAAAGATAGAGAATTGAAGGAGAGGAGAACCAGAAGATTTGAAGGAGAATGAGAGGAGAGGAGAACCAGAAGAGAGAAAGAGAAGAAGAGAGGAGATAGAAGGAGAAGAGAGGCGGAGATTTGAGAAATAAAAGGGGGGGTTAACCGGGTTTTTTAGGGTTAGCTTTTTTTTTTATTATTTAAATATGTTCCGACGGAATATTCCGACAGATTTTATTCCGTCGGAATTTTTTTGTTTCGACGGAATAATCCCTCGGAAAGTTCCGACGGATTTTAATTCCGCCGGAAATTAAATATTTTGTCGAAAACCCCATAAATTCCAACAGATTTTAATTTCATAGGAAATCCGTCGGAATATACGAGATTTCCGACGGAATATCTTGTCCGTCGGAAGAAGTCCGTCAGAAATAGGCCTATTTCTTGTAGTGACATATGGGTACGTCCGTAGTATGTCTACCGTGATTGGGTGCACCATAAAGGCATGCTGTAAAATGCCTAGATCATCAGACATGACCCAGTAAAGATACTGACTCTGTCTCGCCAAATATAGAAATTGCTGAACTACTCCTCTCCCATCAGACATCTCCGTTCTCAAGTCATTTCGGCAGTTGTAGATGTGTCTAATGTTTGGATGGTCATCAGGAAATTGTTCGGCAATAGTCGCCATGATGTTACGCGATGCAACCTTAGACTTCATCATGTCACGCACAACCTTCTTTGCATCCAGGCTCAACCCACTAATTTTACGATGCCCCTCCTGATACACAATCATTGGATGGTTATGGGTCCCAGTTGAATCATTTTTTTCCCGGATCTTCCAACTATTGGTGATGAACTCGTAATATATCTTGATGTAGAAAGGACAAACATTGGCTTTGGTTTTAGTGTCCTTCCGAATTGCGTTCTCAAGATCTCTCGGTTTGCTCCTACGTCCCCGATCACATCTCAAATATTGATACGGCCTACCATCTCTGGTTTTGTTGTAAGTCGATTTGACCAAAATAAATCCCAGATTTATGGCAACAACATCCGCCCATTGAACTGCATCATCAAACGTTGGAAAAAACGTATCTGTGACAAAATTCGCACTATAATTTACACCGTCACCGCCTTCTTCAAACTCCGAATCCTTTAAAAATACAAGAAAACACAAAAAACACGCCAGTATTAGTATTTTACTTATAATAATAATAACACCAATATTTTTAAAAGAACAACAACAACAACAACAACAACAACAACAACAACAACAACAACTACAACTACAACAACAACAACAACAACAACAACAACAACAACAACAACAACAATAATAATAATAATAATAATGTTGCATTGTTGAAGCGGGTTCAGGCGTTCGCTAGGACTCAGGATA